ATTTGATGACAAATTCATACAGTAGCAATGAGCCTTCCTCTTGCACATCTGACATGAAAGAAGAATAGCAGCATTTATGATTATGACAAACAGCCTGTATCATCCGTCTCTGAGAACGGAGTACAGAGAAGGACTATATAGAATAAATTATCCACTTGTGTCAAATTTCAGGCATAACTGAGTAGATTACATTCTGAATTTTATCATGTCTCATAAATAAGATTCCTGTTTGTAAGCATGTCACCTCAACCTCCTCCGCTGTTGCCAGCRGGCTGTGCATACTGTGCATTGGAAAGGCACAGGTAAGACAAGGAAACTGCTGGTAATACCAGAAATACTCTGGGAAATTTAATGGTTGCAGTCACAGGAATACTGTGCAGTTAAACATGCTGAGTTTCCCGTGAGATCTGAAAGAGACAACATGGATTTCCTGTGATTACTAAAGGCACCGCTGCGAAAAATGATTCCAAATTTGTATCTAAACAGTGTGTGCTCGAGTGCTATGTGGATTCTGAACTGCCTGATTCGGGGTGAGCACATGCAGGATTTTGGGGCACGCAACTCCTATTTGTGTAACCTTGGAAGGCCAAGAGGTGTGGGAGTTGGATAGTCAGCCTAAATGGTCCAGGCGCATACAGGGATGTTACTCAGCCTCTTGATCCAACCCGGGAGCCCGAGTGAACCCGCGGTTACAGCCGCTGACCCCGGAGCGATCTCTGTGCCGGAGCTGGTGGCGTGGCAGTGGACAGCGACCTTGTGTAGTCGAAGGGTACTGTTTTCCACTACAGCCCACGCACAGCCGGTGTTGCTGCCTGCTCCAACCCTCCTACCCGACTCCTCAACAAAAGACCTGTCCTCAACCAGTAGAAGCAGAGCAAAAAGCAGAGCCGGGTTGCGCGTTGCGCACAGCCCTGGCCGGCTGCTCCCGCAGGGAGGCAGCGCAGAGAGGCACGCGGGGCTCGGCCCCACGCAGAGGGGCAATGGGCGCCTAGCGCGAGGTCCCGCACGCCGGCACCTCGGCTGTGCCATGACGTGACACCCGCCCTGGCGGCCGCTCGAGGACCCCGCTCTGTGAGCTCCCATGGAGGGTTCTTTTTTTTTTCCCTTTCAAAATGGAAGGGAACTAATCTCACTGCTGGCCACATTCCAGCTTCGGGTAATTACATTCATCTGACAAATTCTCCTTGGCAGTTTCAATGGAAGATAATTAGTAAATGTAAATAGATGTAAACAGCGCTGTAAATTACGCCGTGCGTGACTGTCAGGAGCCCGGCGGGAGGCCGGGGGCACCGGGAGCAGCGCAGAGCGGCTCCTCCAGGAGGAGGGATGGAGCGGGGCCTTCCCCACGCGCAGGCTGCACTCCCGGCCTGCTGGGCCTCACGCGGCGGCGGCCGCCCCGATCCGGCGCGACCAGGCGCCTGGAGCATCCGCCTGGAGCGGCCGCTTCGCCTCAGGAAGGGGCCTCAAGTACAGCGCAGTTGGGCTCCACTAAAAATAAAGTGAATGCATACACTTAAAAATATAGAGTCAGAGAGATCTAAAACCAACTATTTACCATAGTCAAAACAGATCATAATATATCCCCTAGCTTTTTATTATTATCTCTCTAATTTTATTTTACATGTATCAGAAACCTCTTATGTAAGTAGTATGTTTAAAATACAAAGCGCTACAACTACTGGGCTTAATCAGATACTGCTTTGTTTCATACAGAAGATTTCAGGATTAGTTCTCAATTACTTTTCATCCATTTTAAATGTTATTCAAAATTTGCATACAGAAACCAGAATGAAGGCGAATGAAGGGAAAGTTTATCTTCTTATAGAAGCTTGTTGCATTATTTAGCTGTAACGGGAGAAACAGATGTTTCAGCTTTACAATATCATGTCTTGCAAAACTTCCTTCTGAGCGACTAGTCATGCTCAACATGTTTCAGACTGTGTAAGGAGAGCTCTGCTAACAGTCACGGGAAGCGCTGCATACATTAGTAAACCCACATTAAGATAATTAGCACTAAAAAAAACAGCAAGCTTTTTTTCTTTCTTTCTTTATAGTATTGATGTAGTGTGGGTGGAAAATGCCAGATGTTCAATCTTGAAGATGCATGTCCCACCACAGAATGGGAGATAGAGCCAGCTTTTCCCAAACACTCTTGGATTAACTATCCCGGGGGCTAGGGGGAAAATTCAGACTCTATGTGCTGTTGATCCTTCATCTCTCTGATGAATCTATGAAGACTGGGAATGGGACAGGGAACACGTCATTCTTTGTGGCTGTATCTATCCAGTTATTTTTTCACCAATTTTCTTCCCAGTTGTGGTTCACAGTGGAAATGGCCTGGAGGGCAGAGAGGGGAAATTTCTGCAGTGCAGAAAGCTGTTGAGGCTCATTTTGTATCTTACATGTGTAGCTTCTAGACTGCAAACTCCATTTTAATACAGACTAATATGTCACTGTAGTAGTCTGCAAATCCTATGATGGGCTGTACACACCATTTAACTCTCTGCAGATCCCAACGATCCCTGTTAAGGATATGGACACATGCTCCAACGTGATTGCTACTGCAGCTTAAAATATACTGCTGGCTCCCTCAAATTATGTGTGCTCTTAGYTGAAGTAAGAGGAGAGTTTAAGGCAGCAATTTTTATTTTGTATTTAATGATAGTCTAGGAGCATGCATGTGARCAACTTAGACTATTCTGCTTATGGGTGGCTACTTGCTAAGCTGCCACAACTTAAGTTTATCCCTTTGGGGGGAGGATCCACTGCAGATATGAATTTGAATAAAGTGTCCTACTATAACTTTTAGTACTTACTTTTCCAATAAAACTTCCCATTATTTTGACTGGTGTTTAGAAGGCTTGCTTGAAAGCCACTCGCTTTCAAGCAAAGTGATAATCAGTCTAACTACTCTAAATCTTTTGTAACGGAAGGTCAACACATCTTTTTTCATTCAGTCTGCAAGAGTAACTGAGCACAGCTGGTTTACTGAAAACAACCCGCTGTCATTTAAGCAGATTAACAAAATTAACTGTGAAAATCCTCTGCTATATGAAAGCCAATAGCCTGCTGGCCACAAGGAGGCAGGGCAAGGATTCAATAAACTCAAAGAAACTGCTTTTTCTTTTCTTTCCTGTTTTTTTTTTTTTTTTTTTTTTTAAGAGGGTTAAATTAGTAAAGTCATGAAACTCTGAACTATTAGGCAATAGATAAAAAACACTTTTCAGCCATAGTGTGGTTTTGGTATTGCTGTTTTATTCCAACAGCAGCAAATATCTTAATAAATCAAACAATAGCTGATCTGGCAGGAATTTTATGCTTCTTTTGAAGAAGCAGTTCACACATGTTTCTTCTTCATCACTTCTGTGTGATGTACAGTAAAAGGGAAAATTCTACCAGTAAAATTTGACAGCAATGGTGGATTTACCAACCCAGGGCAAGCAGCAATACAGCCAGGTTCACAGGGTGTTGCTGCCAAGCTAATAAATCCTGCTTCTGGGCTGGCATCAAGGCTGGTTTGGGAGCTCTGCCTTTCCCTCTCTTGGCCCTTCTGCCTCTGGGGTTAAYGTTGAGTGTTTGAGGCTCAGTGGCTGTTCTGCCCTGCTGAGTGTAGGACAGTCCAGTGGGGCCTTCTTTAAGCTCAGCTTTAGGACATCCCCAAATCAACCCTAACTCAAGGCCCAACTTCTAAATGGCGAAGAGGGCAAAAGAGGAAAACTAAGGCCAACTCTGCCTTTAACTCTGCCTTGTTCAGAGTTAAATTGAGAGGGATTAAACCTAAAAGTGAAACAAAGCCTTCCATAGTATCAGCATATCACAGTGCAAATCTGTTACTGATCCTGTGTTTTTTATGCGAGGTGACTTTACTCCTAGCCCCACTGCTGGAGGCTACTCAGCTAGATCATTTCAGTCCCCAGAGCCTCCCTTTCCTCATCTTGCAAGCAGTTACTTTCCTTTGTAAAGCAGTACAAGGTCCATGGATAAAAACATGTTAGAAGGACTGATCATTATTAATACAATTCAGATATGGAATGCACCAGATGGTAAAATCTCCGGGATCTTAATGAATTATTGTAACAGAACATATGTAATATGACGTKATTATAACAGGCATTTAAATGTATAGTTAGTACATACAACGTGACCTGCTCCGCTCTCAGCAACTCCACTGGAATCATTTTGGATTTATGTCAGATAATACTAGGAACACAAAATAGCCCCATATGTGCAATGTGGTAAGGTTTTCTTAGCAAGGCTATATTAACTATTGCCTTTCCCGATTTCTTTTTCTTCTTTTTTTTTTTTTTTTTTTTTTCCTTAGGAACATTGTATCTAGCAGTTTAGCGGTTAGAGAAAGCTTTCTGAATTTAATTTAGAGTAAGCAGTAAAAAAACCCCTAAAAATGGCAAAGATGAAAACGTCTCTGAGCAAGTATTCCTTATTTACCATCATAAAATAATTAAGTCACAAAGCAGCAGATTTTTTTTTTCCTCCTTTATATTCTGTAAAAATTACCTCTTCACTGTACCTTACACTAGATTTGGTAAAGGATTTGGCAGGGAAAGCAGCTCAAGCTTGTGTCAGAACTGCCAACCACTCACCTTCAGACTAYGAGGGGAGTAAGTATCTCCTCTCTCCCATAGCATTCAAGTTACGGAGGTGATAAACTGCACGAGGGGGTAAAGGTGAAAAAACAGAGCTGCAGCTCAAGCGACTGGCACCACACATTTCAGTGAGAAAGAGACAGGTACTGACTTCAGTAAATAAAGAACACAAAGATACTATCAGTATTTAAAATAATTCTAGCATGCCGACAATATACCTGTGCAATTCAAATGAAATGATATTTAATATAAAAGAGGCTGGGAGCAAGATATCTATTTCACATCATAAATTAGCCTTTGTACTAGTGCCCGAAGATTTGGCTGATTACTCACTGCTTTCCCTTAGTGCTTAAGTAGTCTTTTCCAAAGCAAGACAGTTAAACCACAAAAACGTACCGTAGTGTCCACAGCCATGACCTTCCCAGCAGGAACGTGCTTTGGAATAGGTTCTTCTACTGATATCATCATGCAGCCTTCTGCTCCAAGAGTAACGATTACGAGCTTACACCCTCTTTCTAACAGCAGGCGTCCCACCTTTTGAGCATCTTCAAGGTTGCCAACTGGGATGCCCGTTAAAATTTCTGCCTGGAAAATAACCCACACAAATGAAAAGCATAATTTGATAGTATTCATTTTTGGACAACAGTTGCATTTCAAGACAGTATTTAATATCTTCCTAATATGCATATTGTAGGATGATCCTGAAGCCACTTCCTACAGTGATATTCAACTAGGCTTTGCTCTGTGCTTGAAATCAGCATGCACTTCAGGCACTGCACACTAATGGAGAGCAAACTAGTGGTGGAGCCGCAGGAGGCCCGGGGTCTGTTCCAGCTTCCACAACATGCCTGGCTCACAACCTTTAGACAAATCATGTTTCGCTCATGTGCCTCGGTTCCTTCACATGTGCAGTGAAGACAGCGCCGTGGCCCTTGCCAAAAGTATTTTGTGGTCTGATGTGAAAAATGGTACATGGCAACTTGGTCAGTATTCTTGAGTGATATCTACTGCTAAGTGAGAAGCTTTTATATTCTCAGGGYTCAGCTAGTGAGGAATTACTAGGGAAAAATCTCTCTAACAATGGTACAATCTAGCATTGCTCGCTTTGACCACTGTATGTTTACTTCAAAATATGTTATCAGTAAATTTCCCCAAAATTTGCAGTGAAGACTCCAGAATCAAACAACCTTTTCCCCACTTCATATATTTGCTGGCACAATATTTGTCAATGCTACGCACTTTGTTGCTGTTGTTGTTGGAGAGTGGGCAGAAAGGGATGACAAGAGTGGAATAGGAAGAAAGGGAAGAGAAAATAAATTGTATTTGATGCGCTCTATCAGGAAGTACTGCTGCTTCCTACTAAAGTATGCCTTCAATTCCAAGTAGAAGTAAGGATACATTGCTGTCTTTACTACATCTTGCCCTGCTTGTTTTAGAAGAGGGAAGTCCTGCTCTATCCTACCCTACAAGGTTGCTGCATCCTGGAAAGAAAATGCACCTTGCAGTATTTTCAGCTATTACTGGACATAACTTCCACAATCTCAGGGCTTGTTTCCAGTCGAAAGGTTACTCTGGATTCCTTGTGCCAGCATCCTGACCTTGTCTGCACAGACAGCTGGACTCCTTGGCGAAGAGCTGCTGTAGTATTTCAAATTACCTTTGCGTGTCTTACAGACACTTGGAACCTGCGCACTACTCCTCCTCGATACAGCGGCCTATGAACTACTGCAGCACTTCAGCCACTGCTCCATGGAGTAAGGGCCATCCCCGTAGCGAAGCRGACGGCTGGGGACAGGAACTACTACAGCCATCCCCGAGCAAACCGCCCCCAGCCGTGAGTCACAGGCCTCGCTTTTCACCACTGCCGTTTCCTGTGTTTCACCCCGGCCCAGCACAGCAAAGCCGCCGGAGGCTGTGARGGGCCGGCCTAGCCCAGCACATGGCATTAGGGCCTGTGTTACTGCAGTGATCATCAGCTTCCAGTTTGGTGTCCATAGGACCAGGCTCCGCAGTCTCTCCTTAGAGAAATGCACGAGTGGCTTGGAGAGCTGCTGACCTGCTGCTGGTGAGGCAGATTCTGGCGAGGCCTTGCTACGTAAACCCCAGTTCTGCCGGAGCAAATACAAGTAAAAACTACTTTTTTAGCMACAATGATGCCACGCCAGAATATTGTACATTTTAAGATACTGAGAAGGCAACTAAACCTACCAATTTTTCCCTTTGGCAATGTCACTACGCTTCTCAAATTTTTTTTGCAGAAGAAATTATTTAGGCAAATGAAACCTATTTATGCTTTTCTAAGGGTTTAAAAGTGTTTGCAAGCAAAATAATCTGTTTCAAAAAATACCCTACAAAACTTTTTGAATATATCTAGAGGTCCCTTCCAACCTCAACCCTTCTGTGATTGTGTGWTCTTTTTGCAGTAGCCTAAAAATGGCTTTGGAGGGCATAGGGATAGATAATAAATATTATTGAAAAGTGTTGAATTCTATTCTAATATTCAAGTGCTCACAAAGTCTGTGAGTCTTTGTGAATTTGAAGACCTCTGGAGTAGGAACTATGTGTTCCTATATTCAGAASACCTAGCACATCATGTTACAAGGATAAAAATAGATTAGGAAAGTGCACACACAAATCCTTGAATGAAACTGGATAAATAAATTTCTAATCTACTTCACAGTGGGCAATAATTCCAAACATTCAAGGCATTTTGCAAAGCCTCCAGGGAGAAAGTGGCTTTGGTTTTGATAGAGGCATAGTCAAATTAATTTGGGTTTATTTAGCTGGTCTTTACACTTCTGTAATGTCATGGTCATGGTAGATGAATTATTTAAATCTCCATAAAAAGTATCAATATTGAATTTTGCAAAGTTTGTATTCTTGAAATTGAGCCCACAAAACTCAAAATAAACAATCACAGAATGGTAACATTCTTCATAATGAAACTCACATTTGTCTGCTTAGTATTTATGTTGTACTCACTGTGATAGCCATCCATGTCCTACACTGCTTATAATAATACACGGAGTTATTTTGTATAAAACTAGACCTTCGGCTGCTTGAAACCACTATCATATAATTCATTTACAGCAGGATGGTAAAACTAAAAAACACTGGAACAARCTGGAAGAACCATAAAAGCAACAGAAGCCAGACTGATTCTGTGCCAATAATTAAGAGATTGCGGTAAATGTCAACTGATGTTAAATACTGTGGTGAGTTTTTAAGTTCCTCCCTTCAGTAAAATCTTATTTAAAAAACAAACAAACTGTGGTACAATTGAAGGAAATAACTAATGGTTATGTAAAGAAAAAATTAAATAACAATCCTAAAAGTTCAATGTGGATATTTGCCATAATACTCTATCAAAGAGCTACAATGGAGAAATATATTTTTCTGCAGCTAGTCTCATAGAACTCCTCATTTACATGGACTTATTAAAGCAAGAGTACATTGCTCAAAATTTGTCAGAATAAACTTATGATGGATACTATTAACTAATGCACCCAGATTTTTCTTAATTTTGATTATACAAGTAGAAGAGAAATTTAACTGAAACTTCTAATGTGAAATGTGATTGCTCTGGAGTTTCTTGGCCATACTCCTCCCTAATCTTAGTTAAGCCTCGATGTCTCTATAGATGAGAGGTCTAGCCACAGTAGGCTGACAAAACCCATCACTGCCTACATAAAAATGGTCCTGCCCCCTCTACTCCTGTCAACACAGCTACAACACTTGGGTGGCCYGGCAATGAAAGGGACTGTAAGGCAGATCTGTGTTAAAATTAACCCCCAAACAAACTGATTTCTTTCAACTGCAATGTCAGTTCACACTGTCTGTAAGCGAGAATGGAACTACCCTGTTCCTGTGAGTGGATCCTCTAGTTGAGGCTTGGGGGACCAAGCCTGGAGGCTGGGTCTTGTTTGGCGTCCTGGCACAGTCAGGGGATACAGGACATACAAGGGGAGGCTGAGAGAATTGCGTTTGTTCAGCCTTAAGAAGAAAAGGTCAAGGAGAGATGATAATTGCTGCCCTACAGCTATTTGATGGGTGGATRTACAGAAGATGGAGCCAGGCTCTTCTTGAAGGCTCGTGGTGACAGGACTAGGACAATGGGCAAAAGTTGGAATGTGAGAAATGCTGATTAGAAATTAGGAAAAGCTGCTGCACTAGGAGGGTGGCAGCAGGTGTGAGCTTTCCATCCTGAGAGTCAAAACTTCCTTTCAGGACACAGCCCTGAGGAAGCTGATCCGAACTCCCCTGCTTCACCAGCGTGTGGGGCAGGAGACCTCTGGAGGTCCGGTCCTACCTTCTATGATCCTCAAAATGTGCAAACTACTGCAATGACGAGACATATTTATTCTTTGCAGCCTATTCTTTTTTTCTTTAGTGTCCACACATCATCTAGTACAACAGCAACTTTTCAAATGAAAAATATTTCCAAGTACTGCTGGAATAGAAATAAAGAATAATAATGAAAATGTATGAGTTTTACAGCTATCCCATCTAGAATTGCATACAACAATTTTAAATATCTAAACAATATAAGCCAGTTGGCTGCAACCTGTCTTGTTCCTGAGGAGACCTCTCGAGAATGACAGAGCAATCATTGATCTCCCTAATTCTAACACATCTAACACAAGAGTCACAAAGAAGTCCTGAGACATACAAGATGTACAAGTGATTGCAAGGTCAGGTCACAAGCCAGCTTAGCTCCAGTTGTTTCAAATTACAAATTTTTTACATTCATACAGGGAGAAATACTTATCAGGCTGAAATAATTAAAAACTGATTGAAATGAATTGGCTTAAAGCTATTCACTCCCTTCTCCTCCCAAAAGTAACATCTTTCATTTTAGACTTTGCATGGGAAATTTTCATAGTTTCCAACAGCTGATAAAATATACTTTAGAACAAAGTTGGACTTCAAATTAAAATATATTGTGAATTGATGGCAACTTCTATTTCAAGGATAGTACTTTCCTACTATACAAAACAAAAAAAACGCCAATTCATGAGATGCTCTGCAATATTTTAAATTCTAARGGACCTTTTGTTGATTTGTATAGTAGATAAATCTTTTTTTTTCTTAAGAAAGTCTATCCCTCTTATTAACCTCTCTATATTAATATGCAACATGTTAAATATCCATCCAAGAGTCCAGATGCAATTTTATAATCACAGTATTCTCTGAATCTTGTAAATGTCAGTACTGTTGCTGGTTATTGGGTATGCTAATAAGACTTTCCATAATTAATATTTATTCCAAAAATGATTTWGCTTGTTGTAATAGACACAAATACGTAAAAGGAAACAATGAGAGAGTATCTCATTTTCTTTACTATTTCTATCCACCTGGCGATATTACTTAACAAAATCAGTAAAAAATTTTTATTTGGATACAGTGCTTTCTGCCATTGAAAACTCACAGTAGTCTGCTAGTATTAAAATAAATTTGCCTGATACTCATTTTATATCAGGAGAAAGCAGTTCTAAGGGTTGCATTCAAAACAGCCTGACATATGAAATCGTTTGCTGCAGCCATTCTGGGTCTTTCCTTCTCCTACAGGGCTCTTCAGAACTTCCTGACCAGAGAGGCAGCTGCTCTGCAAAACACTTCAGACCCAGTTCAAATCACTGATGTGCAATATATGGTGCTTCCAAACCTGCAGGGCTGCGTAAGTGCAGGCACACCACACACTAAACAGCAGCAACAACACAGGAGCTGCATCCATGTCGTGGTCGTGCTTAGGAGCCAAACTACAGTAAGGAATCACACATATGTGTGGGAAAAAAAAAAATCTGATGAGTATCCTGAAGAACTCATCTCGTATGGGGCTGTCTCCTTTTCTGCATTTACAGACAACTGAAAAGAATAATCATTGGTTTTTGCTAAGATGACATTTGATACATTTATTTTTCATTAGAAGAATTAAGGGAATGGAGAGCTAGCACATTCCTGCACAAACCTCAGGGATTAGGCTGTGCTGCATCTGGGAATTAACAAACTAGTCTCAACAAGCTTGATCTTTCTGGGRAAAGATAAAACTGAACTACGGGGTAAGCAAAGAAAGAACTGATAACCTTACAAGATTTGTTCAGAGCTTTTTTGTTCRTGAACCACATAAAAAGAAAGTAATGTCAGACATAAAAAAAAATATTATTGAAACAAGCAAKACTGAAAAGAACAGCTTGTGAAGAGCCTTCGAGACAAACTAATGGTAGATAACTCACTGATAGTATAATTGTGTTTGCTTCTCCCTAACACATAAATCCATAAGAACAAGCTGTGCTGTTATACCAGATACTGCATGTGATTTCATTAAAACCTGATGCATTTAATGTATGTTAAAGTAACATTTGATATATACTTGGGACTTGACACCCCATGGCTGTCTGAAACTGTAACTGTCACTTTTAAGCCTTCCTTCTGTGATAAAGGCATCACAGACCAAAACTGTGGACCTGCATGGAAGCCAATAGAAATTTCTGACTCAGTAATAATCACAAGGGAGAGCTAATCACAAGGGAGAGCCCCTTTTTTATCATCTTAAACAATACAAACGTTCCAACTGGCCTAGGAAATGTCTTAATCTAAACATCTAAGTTTCCCTTCTACAGCTATCACAGTCTGCTGTTACAAACAGACCATTCACGTGATATCCACAAATCACAGGAGTTCAGCATTTAAAGGTATTTGGGGAGGAACAACTAAGATAAAGACATTTTGGCACAACCACATGATGATGCTTGTAAGTTTAAAAGAATAAGAAACCTAAACAAGGAATGTTTTAGAAAGAGTTCAACTAAATAGCTCTCAAGAGTTAAGTGTTTAAACCTGAGATTTACTAAGAACTAGCTAAAGTAAAGATAAACCATAAACTATTTGTTTTCTTGGGAGAACAAAAGTCCTCCCAAAAGGAGTATGGCTGGAACATAAAGRGTTTAGCTAGAAGGAAGTTATTCAAAACTTAGCAATAACAAATAGGAAGGAGAACGAAGCTGGAACAGAGAATCTCAGAACACCAGTTATAGGCAGCCTATTGAATAGGTTTGGCCGGAGAGCATAAAAATAATAAAGCCATAAAGTAAGAATGACCACAGTGGCTCAGAGCAAAGGTTCATCTTACCCAGTTCCAGTTTTGGATAGCAAACTGTTTCTTAGCAAACACTAAGAGAAAGGCAGTAAAAAAGAAAAAAAAAACACTCTCTCTCTCTCTCTCTCTCTCTCTCTCTCTCTCTGTCTCTCTCCACACCTGCATATATATGAAGATATTTTCCCAGTATATATTCTGGTTTACCAAAGGGTTTGCGACTTCCTCATTTAAGAAGATGGAGAAAATATAGCTGGGGTTGATTGAATGAATAATATTTAAATATTTTGAAAAAAAATCACTATTATCCTTAATATTTGCCAAATTGATTTGTTGCTTTTAGGTGCTATGTAGAGAAGTAATGAGTGACCTTTATTTGGTTACGTAAACATTCATCTTTAGATCAAACTTCTCAACTGCTTACATAACAGTGATGTGAAATTAAAGAAAGTCAGGAAAGAAAACAGAAAACAGATGGCACATGAATATAGAACAATTGCAAAAAAAAAAAAAAAAACTTGAAAACTTGGGGCAAATACTTCATTTTTCCTCTTAGGAAAAAAAAATGAACAATGGCAATAGTTGATCCCTCAAAATAATTCAATAACATATCAGACACATGGAGGGGATGAACTCCTGTTGATGAAAATGGATTTTATCACAAAAAATTAAATGAAAAGATTAACGTTTAAAAAGAAATCTATCTATGTGCAACTCTTGTTGGTAGAATATTTTATAGGAGTCCCATAATTAGATCTGGACTCCTATGAAATGGTTGGAGGAACTTCCAACCTCTATCATATCCATAAATCAGAAGAAATGAGCCTCATCATCATTAGAGGGTGCATTTCCTGACCTGACTGGGCACAAAGGGATCGCTGCCATCTCCAAACTCTGCCCTCAGCTCTGCAGGAAAGGTGGATGAATGAGCAGGAATCTATTATAATTAGACACCTGTATTTCTTGTTCTCTGAATAGAAGTCATTTTCTTTTCTCCTTAAGGTGTTAATAATAATAAACCCTGGCTCCAGCAAGCTCAGAAGCTCTCAAGGAACTTCTCTGTAAAGATTGTCCTCTAGCAATAAACTCTAACAAAGGAAAACTTTTAACATGTGTGTTTCAAAGGGCAATGAGAGAAAAATYGTGAAGAGACAAGAAATAAAAAACAAAGTTTTTGTTTTTAACATATGGGGAATCATTTTCCTCAGGGGGGAAAAAGAAATGTAAACAGTGACATTATGAAAAAAGCAAATGGCAAATGACATTTGCTAGACTGGTGGGAGACTATGGGAGTTCTCAGAGGGAAACGTGTGCCATCACCCCAATCCAAGGACACAGTCCAGGCTACAGTGTTTTCTGAAGGCATGAAGAAATCACCATATGGGTGTCCTGCAAGCTTCTTGAACAAGAATAAGTACTTTGCCTTATCGTTCTTGYCATCACATAGAATTGAACTCTCGATGGCTGATAGTGCCTGAACCACCAAGGTGTTGCTGCCAGTTACACTGGCACCTTGGAGGCAACAGCTACTTTGCCAGTCTGTGAAAGCACTGGGGTGTCTGCAATGCCAGAAGACTCAAGAACGAGGGTTTTCTGATAGGGTCTGTGATGGATTTCAACAGAAATTTCAGAGGAGGCTAACTGAGCCTTGAAGGACTTTTGTTGGCAAATGACAGACAATGTCATCCTACAAGAAATCCTACACTAAGCAGCAGCCTGCTTAGCTCCTTCCCCTCCTCCCTATCCTGTGCACTGCAGAAAGCATGTTTGTTGGAGATAACTTGAACTATGTTCAGGGCATGGCTTCTGTCCGCTAGGTTACTTCTCACACATTCCTGTTTATATAAAGAGAGGGTGAGGGGAAGGAACACAGCATGCTCAACGCTAATAAATAGGAAACTTAAACAAAGGCCTTATGGGACAAGAGCTTAATTTGTCCCTTGTGACAAAAAATATTTGCTTTAGAAGCAATACTAAACTAGAATTGGAGAGGGAAAGAAAGAACAAACTGGAAACATTCAGTAGAAGGGACAGAGAAAGGGATATTCACTCTAGTAGACCTGACAGGAAGGAGTGTAAGAAGCTACTATCACCCCCTGGCAAGCCAGTTTGAAACGTGTGTGTGGCTAGCACATTCCTGCTGAACATTTCAAGGGACCACAGCAAAAGGAGAAGGATTTCTTTTAATATTTACCACTACTCACTGCTAACATTTTAGATTTGTCCTTTTATGGATCTGTTTTACTCATCTGCTTGCAAGGAGAAGGCAGGACATAAGTTTCCCTTTACAAGCTATCAATTTCAAGTGCAATCCAGAGTTTCAGAATACTCCTCTTTGCTCGTTATGTCACGGGTGAAAATTGCCACCTCCGGAGGTCCCATATAAAAGGAGTGTGGCTGAGTTTTCCTGGTCTGCATGCTGAGAATTGAATCCCACTGAAATTTTGCTGAGCAAGACTCTGACATGATGTGTGATCATTACCTCAGTTTCATTGCAGCAGAAGATATCGGAATGGGTATAAAACTGTGGATCTAAGTCAGCAAGGGCTGGAGCTGGATTAAATAAAGTCTTTACTGAAAAAGAAATGGAAAAAAAAAAGGAAAGTCTAAATCTTTAGTATTTCAGATTCATAAAGCATAATCTGGAACATCAAAATTTGTTCTGGTTAGTATCTTCCAAGTTCTGATTGCATTCACATCTTCCAATGTTTCATACTAACACAAAGAAGTATCTCATTTTCTGTGTCCATAATTTACAGAAATGATAAAAGGTTTATTAAAGTTCCTTTCAAATTAATGTGCAATCACCTGTCATGTAGGAATATGGCAGAGGAGTAATAGAAAATAATCAATAAATTAATTAAAAAAAGATTTAGACAATGATGGATTTTAGACAATTAATTTATGGGGTTTTTCTTGAGAATTATAATAAATTTTACAGGAATTGATTTATAGATTTTTTTCTGCTTAGAATATGTATTTTTACCTGCATTCTATATGTAAGAAACAGAGGCATGGAGTAACGAAGGGCATGTCTGGACAAAAGTTTAAAGGTGCTTCTGAGTGTGTTACCTAACATTTTCAAACTGCCACATCATAAAACTACAGTGTAGACAAGGCACTGTATATTTTTAATATGTTATCTGGCAGAGCTAAACCTTAACACGTGGTAGAATATGTTAGTTAACCTAACTTGAAATCCTAGCCTAAGGMCCTGTATAACAGCAGAAAAGGTTTGTCTTGAGGATAGTTTAGGTGACTTAGTCACTCTTCACACAGGAAGTCTGCAGATTTGGTTTCTCACTTTGCCAATTTTATGATTAATACTTGTGCCTTAACCACAAGGCCATCTTTTCTATATGAAACACACTTCTTTTGGCTTAGAAGTATTCCTTACAGTAAGTGGCCAAATCTTCCAATTTGGGCATCTGAATTTTAGTCCTGATTCTATAGTTAGGTTCCTAAGCATGTAATATTCAGGCACCCTCAACACTTCTGCATCCCACTTGATTCTCCAGAGATGCTCAGAGACTCCCAAAGACTTGTGATATCCGAGTACAGAAAAGTTTAGGTGATGACCTTTATGATTAACCCTCCTTTAAAATTTTAGCCTATGAATGTACAACTTTATCATGCCTCTCCACCTGTCTCATAAAAAATATTATTATTAAAGTGATAAAAGCACTCAGTACAAAAAATGCCAGAWTTAGGATTTCCAGTGAAATCTTAATTTGGTTCCCTTATATTATTACAATACAGTATGTATTATAATATAGTCTTTAATTATATGATCACATACCACTGAAAAACAGCATGTGATCATATAATTAAAGACTGCAACATAATACATATGCAGAAAGGAGACAAATTAAGGTTTCACAGGCAAGCTTAACTCTTGCATTTCCTATTTTGGAGCTGCAATTCTAATAAAGTTTCCCAGCACAAATTTTTAAGTGTTCTTTCCTAGATAAAACAAACAGTACATTATTGGAAAACCCACTCTGGCCTGCAATATCGCAGTGCCGTACACAGGAGCCAGCAGCAGCTCTGAGCCTGTTCCAGCCTGGGTTTTTAGCAATACAGACACCTTGCTAACTGGCATGGGAGACTCTGCTCTTCCATTTGCCCCCGTATTTAATGTCAGTTGWGCAGTGAAGGGGCACTGGGAATCTGAAGATTCCCATTGGGGCTGCGAAGAAGAGCACATGCCACATTCCCCATCTGAAATCTTCTCTCCTTCCCACCGCTCCAGACCAGCTTTGTCTCTTTTGCATTCAGAGCAAGCAAGCGTCTCCCTGCACTGCCCAGGCCTACACAAGATCGTTAACAGCTTAAGAGAAATAAGCTGCTTAAACCCAGATTTAGGAGCTATGCTGAAAGTCATGCTGCCCAGCTGGCACACTGCCCTGCGTGGACACGCTCTCCAGGGAAGTTAGCTAGGAAGCTCTAAAAATTCTTTATTAAGTCTGTTTGAAAGGTGGTATTTTTTTTCCCAAGGCATGTAATACAGTTAAAATCAGGCAATTTTCCACACCCTTATAATGGCATGTTTTTAAAACAAATCTTCCTTGCTATCAAGTTTTAAGCAAGTTTAATGTTTCCAGCCTACATCCTTTAAATGGGGGAGTATTTTTTCCATAGCCTTGTTTCTGTAGCCACAATACTTGAGGAGTTTTGGCAGAAATTTTCAAATAATTTAACCACACACCAACAGCTGGTATGGAAAACTGCAGCCCAAGTTAAAGCATCTGAAAAACAGATCTTCCATTAAAAAATGACATGCAGTGCTAGTAACTGAGACTGCTTCCAGTCTTGGTTATGATATGCTTTCATTCTTCACTACAATATTAATAGGCTGGACATTATTAGACTGTCTTATAGAGTCTGTCATTACAGAAGCCCCAAAATGCTTTACAGACTTTAATACATAATAACCCTTTGCCCATCAATGAACCGGTCCCCCTCTTAGAAGCAGCAGCGGATTCAAAGTATGTGGCCAACAAGAAAACCCTGGAACTTTCCAGTCAGATTTCCACTGCAATTTATACCCACTTCATGTAATTATTCACGACCCTTTCTTCCTTCTTTCTCCTGAAGACTGCCACAAGATCTCTAATAATCAGTGCCACAATGAAAGGATGTCAAAACAAGCGCTGTCCTTCTCCACCTCACAGACCCRAGTGGTGTTTGCTGAAGAGACACGGGCTCTTGCCTGCCTGTCCACATTCTTTCTCCATCTTATTTTTTATTTCTTCTAATAAGAGCGGAGAAGACCAAGAAACAACACTTGAAACAGAGGTTTGAGGCATCTGAGTGTGCATTTGCTAAACAAAAATAGTCTAGTAGCTCTTCCCAACATATAATGCTGCATTATACATGAGGGTACTGCAGACTAAACCAAGAGAAACTGCCTTTTACATTTGGCTAAGGATAAATTTTACAGCTACAGTCTGAGCCATTTACTTAGATTTGACTGCATGTGGCATTTAAACATGTGCAGCCTGTTGTTCTAAAGCAGAAACAACCAAACCTTTCCTGGTAGGAGAGTTGCACGACGACCACAGGCTGAGAGTGCAGAACTGTAACTGTCCCACAAATGCTACAGGGTCTTGTCAGTACCTTGCGCTGTCTACAGTTCCTGAAAGCTTGCATGTCTCTTCAGTGTTATGGACTTTTTGGTTTAAAAGTCCAGGTTTGGACTTTTAAAATTTTTACTTAAAAAAAAAWCCATATTTTTTCTTCTGTAGCTGGCTGACATCTTGCCAGCATAAAAAGGCTASAAAAAGTAGCAACAACATAATTCACAATTTTTTGACTCAATATTATTCCATTAACCATGAGACTAAGAACACTTTCATCCATTTTCACACAGTAAAATGAGAAAATACAGTAAGCTTCCTTCTCCTCCTCCCCTGCCCACTTGAAGCATCCCGGGCATTTCCTCATTACCTGAAGTTTTAAATTTTTATTTGTATTTGCATGAACCCAGCTTTGGCATTTCAAACAGAGGTCAAAATAACTTTCCCCATGCACATAATTCTGTTTTTGTTGTATATGACTATTGCTACCACAGCTCATAGCTGCTCTCTCCCAGGCTTGCACAAATAGCTGCTTAAATTTGCATTAAATATGTGGAAAAGATTCTACCCTGGAATTTGTTGGCTCAGCCCTAGGGATCACCACAGGTGCACAACAGGCCCTGGTGCAGGAGCAGGACCAAAAGGCAACAGCCCCCAGGTGCCACCGTGGACTGGGACAAGCCTGGGCCTGGCTGCGAAGAACCAGCTGGTCTGATCCCAGCTCCATCCCTGACGGACCGCACTGTGAGCTGTCCCCTCCTGGCCTTATCTTCTGGATAGAGGCCAACAACGTGTTCTTCACCTCACAAAGATGCCTCCCTTGCCGAGCTATTTACTTCCTATTGCTCCAGCGCTGTGCTAGTTGGGCTTGATGAACCAAAGCCATCACAGGTGTTTGCCCAACCCAGTGCCACGGCAGTGATGAAGTCCCGTGTGACTCGAGCAAAAGGTGGGTTGTTACCCGGGGGCACAGCAGTGCACAGCTACACTGTGCAGCTACAGTGCACAGCTACGCTGCAGCAGAGCTGGCTTCCAGGTAGAAGTGCAGCAACGATGACAAACAGTTGCACAGATCATGACTGCACCTATTTGATGGCAGCACACCAAGTCACACCGTGGGAATTCTGACTAAAGAGACCATAGAATCATAGAATGCTTAAGGTTGCTTAATGCTTAAGGACCTCCAGAGATCATCTAGTCTAACCCCCCCTGCTCACGCAGGGTCACCTAGAGCACAGGGCACAGGGCTGCGTCCAAGCGGGATTTGAAGATCTCCGGAAAAGGAGACTCCACAACCTCTCTGGACAGCCAAAGACTTATTTTTTAAAACTTTAAGTATACCAACTTAAAAGTTTGGTTTACTGGCTTTACTGGTTTGAATTCATTACACTTATTCCGCAACGGAAAAAAAGAACAGGGTCAAGCCCATAGTTCCTGATGTAAAGACATAATCCTGAATTTAGTCCAATGTGACAAAATGAGCAGCACGACACATGCATGGGGAGATCATAAGGATATTTATAAGGATATTATATGGACTGATTTCATTCAAGGTAATGATTGCACAACRTTAAAACTGAATTCAATTTTTGCAATTCAGCATGCATTTCTTTGCTATGGTTTCATCTGTGAATACAACTAGTGTTAAAGAAATCAGGATCACAAGACCACAGGATCTTTGTTACAGAAAGCAAAACAAAGAGTATTTTTACGGATCACAAATAAGGGACACTGAATGGCTTATGTTAAATTACCTCCACTGGCACGTGCCATTTTCAGAGCTTCGAGAGACACAGCAGGAGTTATTTCCAGCTGGCAAACAACCACCTTAGCTTTACAGATGACATCAGCAGCCCTCTTCAGGTCTTCACAGTTCAGAAGCAGATTGGCTCCTGGGACTATGACAATAACATTCTGTCCTAAAAAGAAGACACAGTGATTGTACGTCAACCTTTTCCAGTGAAGTAAGTAAAACAATTCCTTGCTTTTCTCTAGTATCTTTCAGATGAGGACTTCAATTTTTATATATATATATATATATATAAAAAAAAAAAACCCAAAACCACCAAAAGAATTCTGCACTTCTGGCATTTTGGCATTTCAAATACCCAAATATTTCAGAAGATAGTAAAAAAGATTAAAGGATTAATGAGTGCTGTGTTTTACCTCCAGTGCAGTACATATGCCTTCAGGATAACTCACACTTGGGTTCTCCACAGTCATATTTTGGTGTTTTCACTTAACCCTGCTGAGGCACTACACTGATCACAGAGGAGATGCGGGACATACATTTCGCCTGACACTCATGTTTTCCTGACAGAAGTGAATTACTGTGATTGCTGATTTCACATGCCCAAAATGCAATCAGAATTTTCATTTTCCTATCAGCTGAAAAGAGAGAATATAAAACAGAACTATGAAAATTATGTATATCTATTAAATTTAAGAGAAGCAGGCTTGCTCCTTATACCTAAGACAAGTCATGTCAGAGCCCCTAACCATCATGAAAGCCAGAAATCAGCTTGCCAACAAGAAAAATAAAGCTAATGACTGTGTCTAAGACGAGCCTTATCAGAAACAGGTAAAGAAGGAGGGTGACAGATTCTACTGAACTTAAAACTGGTCAATGAAAATTTCAAAACGAAGACATACTATACAGCACAAGCATGGTCCTATCTGAGTATTTCTAAGATCCTTTTCATTCCAGTAGTTTGTTTTACAGCTAAGCGAAGAGATTCATCTATGTAGGTTCCAAATATTCTTTTGCCTTTCTTCAGACATGCAAGTTTCCTTCTTTTATTGCTGTTTCTTTGTTTCTTTCTTTTTTCTTTTTTTAATCTTTGTTACAACACCTTAGAAACCTTCAGGCATGGGTGCCTACAAATTAAAATTTATTATTAATCACTAAGGTATTAAATTCAATAAGTCAGTTGTTCCTTGATTTACAGTCTCAAGCCGCCCCCGCTGAAGATTCCTTAAGGACTGCCAATCATCAGAGACTACCAATTCTGTAATGAATTGAAGTACTCTGTAAATAAATATTTATGTTTTCAAATACATTATTTTTCTTGAAGAGACTTCAAAGCCCTTTGAATAAGCAACGTGCAAAGCTGGTCTCCCTAAATATGTTCTGAAAAGAAAGCAGGACAATGGAAAGAATAATATAATGATCTCAGAGGGAGGGGCCCGAGCTTTCCAAAGCAATTCTGCTGTCAATGGTTTGGTACAGAACAGCTGCATTTGAAAAGCTAAACCTCAGCATTTAAGGCCAACGCCCTGCTTTTCAACAGACAATGATGGGCATCTTGGATTAAAAAAGAAAAAAGAAAAGAAAAGAAAAGAAAAAACCTTCTGCAACAACTAAGTACTGTAAAGTTATCTGAATCCTGGCCAAATTGCACCTATTTTCCCAACCATATATCCCTTAAACTGATAGGTCCAGCAATAAAACTTGAGAAATTGATGGAAAAAAAAATATTTTCTGCCTGGACTCTATTTACATGTCTTGCTGTGTTATCTTGCTGAACTATTTAGCTGTACTGACATGTATATTATTATTATGCTTTAGAGTTAATGGCCCAAGGCACTAAGGAAGGCTCTTTGCTTAAACCTATATGTGCAAATTCAAAGTAAACAGTGCTGCAGTGGATCACGGGCAGAAGATTGTCTTTCTAACTACAAAGGTCAGAGATTCACAGTCCACTTTCAAACCAAATGAACCTGCCAYGGAAACCCATTAGTCCTGCTGCAGAACAGTCCAGCCTGACTTGACCCAAAATGTTCAGAAAAAGCCACATTCTGTTCTTAGCTGCGTATGACACGCTAACTGTGAATGACAACAGTCACCACAAATTTATATCAGCATGCAGGAAAGCAGAATCTGACCCAAAGTACTCACAGCTAATGCCAGGATTTTGTATTGCTGGCAGCCCTGCTGCTGAGGGCAATTATTTTGTCAGATGGGAACTCAGCATCAGGAACAACAGAGTGAAAAACAGCTGGCAAACAGGGATGGGATTCATCCTGCCCCACATCAACTAGTTTTCAAAAGAGTCTGTATCCTACAGATTTTTAGGAAAATTAATTTCTAGAAATTAGCTTTCTAGGTTACTCAACAGTCAATTGAGAGAAACAGGTACTATCAGATTTTTTTTCATCTTATATATCTGTTTGAGGGGGTGATAAACTGTTGTCTGGAGGTGTCCATCTATTCACCAGATATGAAGCTTTAAAGGACMCACTTGATTCTGAAACCTGTCAACTGAGAGAAAATCTTTCCCAGACCAAGAATGAGGAAAATGAATCTAATGTGCTAGTTATGGCAAAATATCTTCACTTTGTTTTGTTAGGTGCACCTATACAATAGGAAGTTTTGCAGACATCAGCTAAAATTTTAAGGGCCACGTTCACAGCTGGTATAAGCTAGAACAGCTAAATGAAGTTGATAAACGTATGAAAGCTCACACCAGATGGGGATGGGTTCATCTAAAACAGCTTGAATGCTGAATATGTAAATTCTGTTCTCAATTAGGCTTCTAAACCTGTTAGTGTCACTTCTAAGAAAGATGGATAAGACATTYTTATAGATGTCACCAGATGAGAGATGCCAGTGGATGAATCAAAGGCACACCAGTAAACATCACGACACAATAATCTTTGCTTTACTTTTTAAAACCTAAAAGCCATCAGTAGTGCATAGAATTCAATACCTCAAACACACAATTATAACAATAGCTGCAGAGCTTCTGCATAATAACCCATAGAAAAAAAAATGATGATATCTTTGACCCTAAAAGAATCTTACCAGAAAGCCATGACTGCCAAGTCACACAGGTCAGGAACACGAGGGCAAGTTTGGGGTGTGTCATGGTATCACAAATTCYAGGCAATTGCTTGGCACAAGCACTGAACAGCCTCGTACACAAAATATTAAAGTTCATGATGAATGCCAATATCTAAAAATCCTATATGTATTCAGGTAATAATTTTTCATAACCCTGAAGGTTAACAAAGCAAAGCTTGATGCTGTGGAAAGGATCACTCAGTCAAGCTGGCACATGTACTTTGAATATGCTTGCCTTGTTTGTTTAGCCTATCTAAATATGTATTTTGAAAGCTTTGACACCATTAATGCTTTCATATTGATGGTACATTCACTGAAAAAAAATGTCTAGTAGTGTTCATGAAATGGTTAATAATTTAACCTTCAAGTTAGCATAATGCCTGTTGCAAGTGAGGGTTATCTCAGGTGAGCTAAAGCTCCAAGTTATAATAACCAAGAGCCCCAAATCTGTTCTCTCAATGCATGTTAATCATGAGCTGCCAATCTCTGTCGTCCCTTAACTGAATTTTTGAACATGGAAGTTGCTGGACTGGTTCAAAACCACCAGTTGAGTCAGGCCAGCATAATGGCTCTGTCAACAGTCTGCACCACGTACACGCAAAGCTGCAAAAAAGAAAACCTCACAGGTAATTATGGAAAAAATTATTCAGAAAAAAAAGTTTCTTTTTGCAACATGCGTTTATGTAAAAGCACAAAACACGTCATTTTATAGAGTTCTTTCTACCCAATAACACCAAAAACAACACATCATTAGATAAAGCTGCGGCAAGGGAGAGAGATATTGGTAGGAAGGCTGAAAGGGGAAAGAGAAAAAAAATGGGGTTCAAAGTAGAATGATGCCCCTCAAAGATGGGCAGATGCATGTGGTGTTCAGATGTGTTCAGAAAAGCAGATATATGTATCGGCTAGTCACCTTATGGAGGGCAGTAATGATTTTAAGTGAAGAAGTTTTTGTTTAATTTTTTTTTTAATTGTCTCTATCTGAAGAAATAGTCACATAATGGAGACCTGCTGGAAGGCATATGAAGTTCCAGAAAAACACAGACTTCTGAGCCCAGCTTAAAAGGAAGCTTTGAAGCTGCTTTGGGCTGCACTTTTTCACTCGGAAATGTATTTCCACCATTTTACATTCAAAGCAGTGATTCAAATTCTCTAACTTTTATTGAAAATACATTGTATTGTCACAGAATATAATGCAGCTTTGGGAATACCAAATGCACCAGATCATTTTCAAAGGACTATTACTTTGCCAATTAAAATAATGGATGACTTATACCTGTGCAATTCAGTAATCTGTATAAATCTTCCCAGAAATTCAGCAGCTGTGCAGGCTAGACAGGCAGAGGTAACGCGAGGTRAAGTTTACTTCAGAGCCTTCCCCGACTCTGCTCTCTCATAGCCACCTTTTCCTCTGCCTTCACTTCTCCATCATAGTTTGCTCCCTATAATTTCTTACCTCTCTCACCTCTGTCTGTGATTTTACTCATTTTATGGGAGCTGGTATTTTTCCCAATTCACCACTATGAATTGCAGGTTTGATGCATGAGAATACAGCAATTAAAACTTGGCAAATTAGAGAGATGATATCTATGKTTTTTTATTTGTCTCTTGTTATCTTAACACTAAACAACCCCCTCCCCTTCAAATGCTTCCGTTCTAGCTATAATCTGAACTAGCAGAAGCTGCTTTACCCCAGCGTCTGTGCTGCACGTTGTGGTGCTTCGACTTTGCCAGCACAACTCCTGTGGTAAAACATGCCTGTGTAGGCAAGCCCTTTAAAACGTGCTGTAAAACCTGTTTAGGTCAAATCAGCCAGGTTTCTACAAGGAAAAAAATAGTGTCTCTTGCAACAGCAAAGCACATAAGTAGCGCTATTTTATTGCAATTTACTCAATTCAGGCGCCAGATGGTTTTAGATAGAAGCAACAAGCAGAACCATTACCAATTCTGTGCATATGCTTACTTTACAGCATAGTCCTGACCAGGTTTGCTCTTGTAGATTTTAAATGAAATTGGAGGCCAGTTTTAGATGAAATAGCTTAATCTAGGATTTTTCAGTTTCTGAGAGAAACAGGGTGCAGGCTTCATTTCACTATGTGCATGGCAAGGCTGTCAGAGACCATAAACACTGACAGCGACAGGTAAGGCAGTTGTCTGATAACCTCTTGATAACCATTTTCCATTTCCCATTGCTTATTAAAGTTTTTGATCTTCAGAATRGCTTTGCTCCTTGTCCTTCAGACAAACTCACGATATTTTAATTTCAACAGGTCATCCTCTGTCCATTTAGTTTCAGACTGAGTTTATTTTAGCCGTCCACGCGTGTGGACTAGGAAGAACTAAGACTGTTTCTTACTCAGCTATTCTAGAGCACAAACGTAGCTCACAACACGGCTCCTGTGCAGAAGAGGGAGGCCTGGGCAACAGGTGCTACTGGAAATATCTCTGCATCTCCTGCTTACAATGGCCGAAGTTGTTACTGTGTGTGACTATGGCATAAGAAAGGCGTTCTCAAGAGCTGCTGAATTTACTTACTTGCTGACCAAGAAGGAGGAGGATGTGACAGGCAGGCATCCAGTTTATTCAGTGTATTAAAGTTACTTTATTTCTCAACTAGAGCTGTCATACAAAGTTTTGATTAATTTCAGCTACAGAAAATTAAACGGAGATCTCCAACTAATTYGTTTAATTTTCCTGAACGTTCCTGTGCAGACTTGTCTCTAGTCACAGTTCCTTTCTAGGTTTGTTCCTGGAGTGTAGTAATGTTCTCTTTCCCATCCTGAGCTATTGTCCAGATAAACCATCAAGTGTCACAGGGACTTACCGAGCTGATGTGTCAGCTGAGCTACAGTAACTGTGGAAATGAAGATTCTCAGCTGAACCAAAAGTGAACTAATTCAATCATAATTAATTTGTTATGTTTGCATAAACATAATTGTTCCTGAGCTTTACATTTCAATCTAGACACAAGCACTTACCCTATGCGCTCTATAAATAWGGATATAACTTGCTTGAGGAAAAGATAAAGAATATGTTTTAAGAAGAGGATAATTTAGCAGTTTTGAAAACAGTATGAAAACAAGTCCTCTTTTTTTTATATTCCTCTCAAGAGCAAAGGCAGCAGCCACGGAAAATCAACACTGAGCAAGCAAATGTGCCACTTCACTGAGTGTGCATTACTGCAGATGGAACTGGATAAAGAACATTGGTRCTCTTGTAACATTGGTACTCTTGTAAGAACAACACAAATACTCAAGCTAAGGACAATTCCTTTTCCTGATTCAGGACATGATGACTTACCCAGTGTGCCTCCTCAGCAGGCAAACATTTTCCTCCTAGCAGAAATGCTAGGTAACTTGTGGTGGAAAAGGAGAGCTTTAATCTTCTGATAGACTGGGTACTGGTGAATGTAAAACTAGGTGGATCAACTAGCTCATTGAATTACAGCCATCTCATTGCTAACATAAGGGCTCTATTCTGCTTAACCTATTGCTAACATAAGGGCTCTATTCTGCTTAACCTATGGCTAACATCTCTTTCTGCATCTCTTTACTGTCTGTAATAAGAGGAAATGCAACAGAGTCTGAATAATGTTATGTAAAAGATGAAAGATGTAAAAAAAAAAAATCCATAATTAACAATGACAAAGCAAAGGTTTCTTTTATGGCTGAAGAGGCAGAACCAAGAGACAGTTCAGAGCAGAAATATGTACCTTCACTGTTGACAATTATTGAAGCAGTTCCAGTAGAAGCATCTGTAGTCTGACCTACAAATGCTAAGAAAGGGAAAAGTTAGAGCATGCATTAGTTCAATACATTACTTTCAGCCAATAGCATGTGATTCARTTTAATTGAATTAAATCTAAAATGAACCCATAACCTCCAGCAATTTAAAAATGCTAATTACTCTTTCATGTGCAACAATGCCAGAGAAGCTAACAACAACAAAAAGTGTTAATTTACACCCACAAAACAGAAATGCGAGTCCAACATTCTTTAATTTGGCTACAGCTCTGCCTCAGAGAAGGCATGTTATTTATATAGCTTTCTCAAGCATTCTACTCCTACATGTAAGTATTTCTTTTATCCAAAGAAACAATAGACTCAAGGCTGGAGAAAAGTAAAACATTAAAATAATAGAGCATTTAATTCTCTGTAGATTTGCATTTCAGCAGGAATATTAAAATGTGCTATGACGGTAGTAGTTAGGTCGTATGTTTCCTCTTTGGATTATTTATTTAGATAAATTATTTATAAGTGAGGCAGAAGCACTGTTTATTATAGAGAGTGTTCAATATTTACTACTATACGGAGCTGTTTTCATTGTCAATAAATTTTTCAAATATTAACCAATGGTCCAAAACATTCTATGATTCTATTTTTCATTTAGGCAGAACTGTAGTACAAAACTGTCAATGAAGATCATTTTTTGCTGAGAATGATATATAAGAAATATCTACTGCTTCAGCTGAGATAAATTCTGATGACCTTTTCTTTAAGAAGCAGTAGAAGTTCTTCTAACATTTTGATCCATAAGCTTCATACTGGGCAAGGGTTGGCTTTTTTTTCCCCCAAGATATACCTTTAGTGTCCAAATTAAAAATCTGCTCCAATTTGAACAAAGCTCAATAAAAAAATGAATAGCACAGTCAGATTTGTTAGAGTATCTAACCAGGGCAGAGCAGAATTCTCCTTGAAATTATAGATTTTATTTTATCATGTGCTAGCCCTGCAAACGAGGTCTGAAGGCAGTGAGCTTCTGCCTTTGGTGCTTTCAATGCTCTTCCCACAGAACGCAATGTTAGGGAATAGGGGAAAAATAAAATAAGGTGGTATGTTATGGAACACAAACCATAGGCAAATGAGCCAGGAGGTGAAGGGGAAGTGGATAGACCTGGAATTATGGGAAGGTTTTTCATCCTGTACCTGTTTTCCTTACTGGCAATAACAGGGATTGGCTAAGATTATGATTAGACGTAGGAAAAAACAGCGACTGGATGTGACAGAACTAGGATCAAGTTTAGGAGAGCAGTGAGATCAACCACACAGGCTCACCCTTGCCTCACAGCTGTGGAATGTAACTTCGGATCCCATATCAGCCTCATCAGAAGAACATCCCATCTCCTTTCAGGGCAGATCAACACAGCAGATGACAATCTAATACCGTTCTGAAATATTTTTTAGTCCACCAGAAGAATTCTTTACCTTGGACATGTTTCAGCCCTTCTGTTGATCTAGCGATCAATGAAGTGTAATATAGGATTTTTTCCCTTCACTTTCCTTTTGCTGCCATAAAGGATATTTAAAATTTATGTTATGTTAATTTATGTCTATCATTTAAATCCGAAAATATGAGTTGAGTTTGCTGGAGGAACATTTGTTTTCATTAAGGGCTATGCACTTCGATCGCTTTATTACTTGATCAAAGGCTATTTCCCTACACAAGGATTCCTGCTTTATTCACAAGGTTGGCCTGGTCTGGAGAGCATTAGCACTGCACACCAGCAGACAGGATTTTTTTATGGTAGCCTGCCTTGTCTTGCTTGTTGTTTAAGCTGAAAGTTATGCAATGAATACTTCTTTCTATACATTTGTGAAATATTCAGATGCTATACTGATAAGCATAATAAAAGAGCCCACAAAATATTGATAGTTCTGTCTTCAAAGCAGGATCTGAGTAACGCAGAGAAATTGAAGTTTGTGGCTTCATATTAAGCAGAAAAGGTAAACAGAATATCAAACTTCTATGTAGTGATTGCGTCTCTTCATCCTGTCCATGTTGAAGGAGACAAGGGTCTTGTGGACAAAAATGTGTTCATGTATTTAACTGGCATACAAAAATACATGTACRCAAGATGGAGTAAAAAAGATATTGAGACAACAGAATATTGTGAATGCTTTTTTTTCGCTTTTTCTTGGAAGCCTTTTCATATTGATTTTTGCATGAATGTGCGTGTTATAAGGGAATGGCTGCAGTCTGTAAAATGATTGCACATGTCATTTCATAAAATAAAGGTGAAATACAGAGTTAACAAACACATTCTTGCTCTATCCCTCTCTCGTCTCTCTCTCTTCCTGCTTCAATATGAAGTAGAGAAGGGGTAATAAAGCAGGATTTTTCAAGTTCTTACCAGGTATTACTGTTAATGCCAGCCTAAACACTTTCTACCACACTACCTCTCAACTAAATACTTTCAATTGCACTATCTTCAAGTGACTTACACTAATATAATCCTCTGAGATTCAGAGCTAATGACATTATATTTTATTTTCTTAAGTGGTAAAGCTGACTTCAGAAGTCTCCGGAGGACTCCAGTCAGAATTCTCAAGAGTTACCAATATACGTAATTTTAATAGGTATATTGGCCCAGCTACAGTAACAGGCACGGCTGGCCAGTACGGGCACTTTTGAAACTGTCTTTTCCACATCAGCAAATGCAATAGGTCACAGATACTCACTGCTCTTCTCAGGGCTGATCATACAGAGCAGATAAGTGGAAATATTCCCATTTCTGCACCAGTATAGACATAGCAAGAAGCTAAAAAAACTATCCATTTCTATTTATTAAATCTTAAGAAAAAAAATCAAAATAATTCTTTAAAAATGAAATTTTACCTGTAGATATACCATTTTTCTTCAAATTTTCAACATAATCATTGCCAAAGGAATCTTTGCCAACCTGTACAGAAGAAAAAAAGATCAGTCTTTAGTACAAAAAAAAAGACAGGTAGATGGATCCTCTTTAGTCATAAGAATGCTACAATTTAATTAGAATACAGCACTCTATTTTGCACTTTATTTATTAAGATAGTATCCTGAAAACCTCTCATGCAGTTTTGCAAAACTTCTCCCTCCAACCATGTCCCTACATTCAAAATTTCGTTCTTTTATGACCACTTTATTCCCTTGACATTTAAACTTTCTGGAGACTGTAACACATAGAAGTTTACGTCTAGATCTGTAATTATGGATCATTATTCAGTTTCAAATTCAAAGTATTAGTAGTAACTTCAATGTCCTTCCTAGCTGAACTCCATATTTTGATTTTTCTAGCTTTAAGTTTCTCCAATGGAAATTGGTTTCTCCAATGGAAAAAATAACAAACGGTGATTATGTTCTAGAGAGTGACTATGAACATAAGATTGCTGATTTCTATAATTTCTCAGTACAAAATGTACTGTTTGTAACCCAGAATTTTTTGCTTGTTTTTATAAAGCAATACGAGGCTAAGAGGAGTTAGAGTCAAGCTATGCTCTATTGTTTTCCTAACAGCAAATTAAAGAGCTTGTAATTTCAGCTCCACTAATCCGTTTCACTTGCTGTTTATTCAGAGCAATAAACATTTGTTTTTGTCACATTACAAAAGCTGAACAGAGGTACATGGAGAAAAAATGGTATAACTTGCTTCACGACCAAATAACATTTTAATATAAATTTATTATAAACCCATCAAAACTTTCAATTCACCAGTTTCAATCCATGTTTTCCACATGTATAGCTTGTGCTCCCACGTCCAAGAGGACCATCAAGTCTGACCAATACTACAGTATTTTCACAAAAGAAAAGAAGTCATCTCTCAGACAAGCAGTTAAATCAAGAGCCCAGTATTTAGCATTTGGTCTATATAGCTTTGTTGAGGTGTCTTCCAGTGAAAGAGCACTAAATAGTAAACCTGCATTAGAGCTGCTAGGAAGTGCAGAGCAGCTGCCTCTGTTCCCTGCTGTGAGAGGCCCGGAGAAGGCCTGATACTAATTACTGATTGTAAAAATCAAACCCTGCAACACAGGATAASTATCAAGTGTCACGGATGGATACCCCTTCCCCCGACATGTTCTATTGCATAACCATGTTTTGAAGCACACTTCATTTCTTGAATCATCTATAAGCACTGTTAGGGGTGATCCCTGCCTTTCACAAAAGGATGACAGCACATTAGGTCAAAAGCAGCCTAACCAGACGGACTGTTCCATTAACAAGTGAAAATAGCATTTACTTTGGTCAGTAAATGTGTCATTGTTTGCACATTACAACATTTCTGCATCTTCGACTACTCCCAGCTTTCCAGACAGGACAGGCAGGTTGCCAGAAGCTGCAACTTCTGGTAGCTTTTGGCTGGATGACTAAAGCTCTCTGCAGTCTCGGAGCTGAGCTACGCACACCTTTGCAACCCAACAGTAGCGCTACTGGAATGGAGTTGATCCCACCAGGTGGGATCATCTTCTCCCTCTGCAGGCTGCTACAAAGCTTCAGCTACAAGAAATCTCAGCATCTGTTCAGTTGTTCCTGCAGGGAAATATCTCATAACCATTTTTCCCAAAACCAAACCAAAACATACTTAAGATACATATGATTCTGTGATGCTTCCTTCAAGTCTGGGTCCTACATAGCTGACAGACAGGCATCCCTTACTGTTCAACTGTGATAACAATGGGGATCAGCCCTGGTATTTCTGCTCCCAGCAGGACCCCTGGGTGCCTGGTCCCCTTGGAGAGGTCTCTGTGGAGGTCCTTCTCCTCTGGGAAGTTTTTCCATGTCGGTTCATCAGCATCCAGCCCAATTAATCCTAGTGCATTTGAAGGGCTTATCTTTCCATTCAGGCTCTGCCCCCAGGGAAGACAAAGAATTGGGCATCAGACTCGTTTTAGATGAAAGGCACATTTACTGACCATGTCAAACTATATAACATTGTTTTAAGCATTCTCTGCTTTTCCTCATTCTCTGCTAGATGGAATATTGGATGAACAGAAAAATAAATGGTTTAGCCTGCTGACCACGGAACACATTATGTGCTGAAGTAGCATTTTTTCTTTCTTGAGATCTTAACAACAATAGCAGTTTGTACAGTGATTATCATCACTTAGTTTTCAAATTAGACTTAGTGGAATTACACAAGTATTTTTCAACCTGGGTTTTCCAAGCTTCCTAAAATATTTTCTATGGGTAGCTAGGAGAGTTGATGGATACGACAGCAAAAACTTTAGCTTAGAGAATTAAACTCAATCTGTACTTGGAAATTAATTAGAATGAAAACATGCACCACTTTTGCTTCATCTATTCTAATACATTTTTGAGTGCATTTACTCCTTTCCTTACTTAGGAAATTAAATATGCACCAGAGACAAGTATGAGAAAATAATACAAAAGAACACAAATTTGGAGAGATATCAGTGATACCCTGAGCTGCATTTATATACACATATATTCTTAAAATGAAGTAAGCATTTAGGCTTACAGTGCTTTTGCTCAAATTTCGTTTMACTCTGTGTGCCTTTGACCCACAGAGAGCCACAGAGAGAAAAATCAATGTCTACATAAACAGTAATACAGCAATACAGCCCTCCTTTTCCTGAGCAAGAATCAAATGCAGCTGGGGCTTCAGTAAAACAGAGTATACGCAGGATGGGGCTGCTGACATCAACGCCCAGCAATGATCCCCCATATTGTTTACCAGGCTTTCTTCAGCCCACACAGCTTCCTTCAGATGGCCTTCCTCCAACATCTTCATCTTCAGAGCTTTGGTAATGGCCAACGGGGAGCTTGCAACCCTCACAGACCATGGTGCATTCTTCAGCGCTGCCACAGGATTCTTGTATGACCATAAGCTGCTCATTTAATTTCTCAAGTCCTTTAGTAGCCTGACTACCATCTTCTGCATTTCTCTGAACCTTTGTCTTTCTTGACTTTTTTCAAGTGGCAACTAAACCACCGATGTGTTATTTTAGCACACTGAGCAAACCTGAGAAGGGGAGTTTAAGAGTAACACTGTGCTACATATTGGTAATGCAGACAAAAATCAGCCGTTCCCACAGATTCAGACAGAAGTAACATGATGTTTGTCACTTCTGCAAGCCAAATGCAGTATTTGGATTTTAAATTAAAATCCACAGCATTCTATGGCAGCTCTAGTCATAACTGTAAGCCATKCTAAAACTCCCTTTCTTCTACCCTCAACTGATAGTTGCTGGATCTCTTGTGTGTTGGAAAGCTCTGGGGTACGAAGGATGCTTTTGCACTTCATCTGAGACGTCTACATCTACTCCCCTGTCTAAGTTGCAATTCTCTGAAGAAGATGCCACCCTCCTGTGGAACATGCACAAAGCAGGTGAGGGGAATCTGACTTTAAGAACCTGAATCCTTAAGGTGACTTATTAAAGTAAAAATAATTTCACTGTAATGGTGCATTATTACCTGAATGTTCTTAGTCATATTCAATGAGAGACTTTATAGTATCCCAGTGACCCATGCAGATATAAGATATGAGATTGTACTGCTTTAAGCTGAGACCATTTTGTGAAGCTATAAAGTACTATTTTTTGATTTCAAAAGTAAATATTAACTTTTTAATAAAAAGTACAAAATGCTAATGTGTGATTCTCTGCTGTTTCTCTTCAATAAATACACAACAGATAGAACTACTAAAACAAGGAAAATAGTTTTGCAAAGCTATACCAACTATGTAATACCAACTATGAAACTTTATTAAGAATGCAAATCTTTCCAGAAATATGTATTCACTGTCTGAGTAGAGTCAAGACCATTTAAAAAATAAAGCAAAATTCACACTTTCACGGGAAATAAACCTCTTAACATTTAGCAAGAAATGTTAGCATTCATTGGCAATTCATCTTGTGCTTGAATCCAATTGCTCTTGAATACAAAGATGATCAAATACACATCACTTACAGAAGCAGAAACTCTCTCACTATGAAAGACAACAAAACAACTAGTGATAATGACCCACATAAATGCCCACAGGTATAATTTACTTTTATAGCTACCCTTCTTTAGCATAAATATCACATTGGAAAAACAGTAAGGAAGGATTTATTGATATATTTCTAGTACTTTTCAAAAAAAACCACAATATAAACAGTTGATGATGACGATGAATGATCCAACAAATCTAGCATCCTGCCCCAGCTATGGCAATAACAAAGTGTGTGCAGTCAATGGGAAGTTTTGTCTACAGCTATCATGGGACAGAAACGAAGACTGAAGAGAGAAAAAAATACATCTTAGCCTTAGTAATGATCACTCAAACCCCATAATAACCAATATAACTCATAAACACTGACCCATTGTCAGTGTTTGACTTATGGTCACTGACAGAGTAAATTCCACTTTGACTATAGCACGTAGCAAACAATGTCATCACTGGCTGTAAAACGGGCACCATGAAGGGGAGGCACTAGCCAACTTCACTTGAATTGTCAACATTTCAAACTGTCCCCAAGTCTCCTTTCCACGACACATCCATCTGGGTTTTGCAATCTCTGATTGCATGCAGTTTCTGGCAGATCTCTAGTCAGCTATTCTTTGGGTCTGGTGGTGCTCTTAATATTGTAAAAAACACCTCCTGGCCACAGCTCATGCTTGAATATGTAGTTGAAATCAGGAAAAGAAAAAGGAGCAAGAGCGAGATGAAGCAAACTGACAACTTCTCTGTAAATCATCTAAAGTTTAAGTGCCACTGGCATGAACTGTGCAGCTGTAAAGCAAGAGCAGGTTGACGCTTACCTTGCAGATCAGCGAGGTCTTGGCCCCAAGTCGAGCAGACTGGACACACTGATTGGCTCCTTTCCCACCAAAACCAATGAGAAACTTATGTCCAAGGATGGTTTCTCCAGCTCTTGGCAATCGAGTGGTAAAGCTAGTCCAATTTAAAACAACATTTACATACATTAGTGAGTGAAAATAGCAAGCCTCTTCAAAATAAGAACTATACTCTTACAACACTAAATGGCACAACAGCCAGCCAAAATAAAAAAAAAAAAAAAAAAAAAAAAAAAAAAAAAAAAAAAAAAAAAGCCACCCAAACAAAAAAGGCCTTTTAGGGTCTCTACCTACCACCAGATTCAGTTTATTTCCTATATGCCTATAGCCCTATATGAAGTCAAGCTTCTCATTCATTACTTAACGGAGTGATTGAGTTTCTTCTGCCTGTGCTTGGTATTTCTACAAGAAAAGGAGCACTTGATCTCTGCCAGGGGTTCCCCAGGGCTAGCACAGTACAGACAGATAATAAATGTATAGACCTCACTGCTTATGTTGTTTTTCTGTAACCTTCAGCTCAAGTTTACCTATTGTTCATTTAATTTCATTGCATCTAATTATACCTCCTTGAACCACCCCAACTAATTTTTCACCTTGCTGGTGTTCACACTCATCAGAAATTGTAGATCACTATCAAAACCTTCCTCCCCTCTGCTGTCACTCACACTGTACGTATTTAACTTCTTTCTTTTTTTTTCTCTCTCATAAATCAAACTTTACAACTTCTCAACATTTTGCTGTTTTTGAACTCCCTCCAAATACATTTGCATCTTTCTAAGGATGGGTGCCCAGAACCAGATGCACTAATACAAGTGCAGACCCATCATCTGTATTCAAGAGTCTGGTTTAGTTTCCATTTTGGAAAAAAAATAAATGTAATTTTTGCAAAGCCTACCAGATGTTTTGGTATTTCCAGTAAAAGATAGAAGAAATAAAATGCACCAGAGAGACTATGTGGAAGAATTTCTCTGAATGCAAAATGCCAGCTTTTTGCCATTTCTGTTAACAATGTGCAACTCAAATCTGTCTTTACAACACAAGAAGTACCAAAATTTCTGCCTCCTTGGACAATGCCTCGCAGGCACAGGGGTTAMAAAACAATTTTCTTCTATTTCTTCGGTGACAAGCAAGGTCATGCCATTTGYGGAAGGACAGTCTCCTATCAGGCACTTGCAAACCCATTCAGGAAAGGGACAGCTGGCCCAGGCAGCTGCCCAAAAGTTGCAGGAAAGAAAAAGGAAGGTGAGAAAAGGGAGATTTGCAAAAATACAGAGGACTTGGTTCTAGGGAGGAAGAGTTCAGAGTTTATCTTCAGCTCTGGTCTGTCATTCTGTAGCATTATTTTGCCAATAAATCCTAGAACAAGTTCAGAGTTCGCAGCCCTGCAGTTCTGAAGAGAGGTGAATCAGGGAGGCTTCCGCACCGCTGACTCAGTGCAGAGTGCTTCCCAAAAGGATCTGTGTGCGCACTGCAGCCTGAATTTGTGCTGCGACTTCGGAGCACATTCCTGTCTGCTGAACAATTACGGAGATCATGGCATAACAGAGCTTTTGCTATCCACAGTAGCTGAAAAAAAAAATCAGGAAGAGGCAAGCCTTTCTTCCCATTAACTTTCACTTCAGCGTCCATCAATCCGAAGAGTTAGGATCACYGTGAAACTGAGAAAACCTGGAACCAACCTAGTGGAGCTAAACTAGYGCTGAAGCTCCATATTTGTTTTGTTTTTGCTTTACAGGAGTTGCTGCAGATGACTTGCAGCAGCTCGGGTCGCCCACACCAGCGCAGTTTTCCGTGTRGGGGGGAAGGGGCGCGCGAGGCCCGAGGCGGGCGGCCTGGTCCGCGTGGTGCCCGGGGAAGGCGCCGAGGGCGGGCGCATGGGTCTCAGGGCACCTGCTCCCCTGCCACACGGGCAGAGCTGCGAACGCTCTGCGAGGAAATGCTTATGCCACTTAAAGAACAACATACCAGCTTCAAAATAACATATATATATATATATATTCAGTGCCTCATATATATGGAAAGGGTCACTAAGGTTAAGCTGTTTCCCCATAGTAGCAGCTGGCAGGTTGTTTGCAACAGTGAGCAACTGTAAGGTTTCAGGCGACAAGGTGTAATGAGCGCAGATAAATATTGTTTATTAATGGTAACATCTCTAATTTATTGCTGTTTTCACCAGTTCCTGTGTCATTAGAAGGCAAAATAATGACGGTTGTGGAACAGAATGAAGGCCACAAGGCTCAGGTGAGGAAGCTCCTGTTCCGTCAGTGCCAGGTACTGCACGTCTGCTTCTGAAACTGGGTGCTGCTCCATAAAGAACAGTTATTGCATCCAGCCTGGGTGCAAGCAGAAAGAAATAGCAACAGCAGCTCCTGTATAGCTCATTTTGTCCACAGATCTCACCAAGAATGTCGCTATCCCTGTCTTGTTTTCTGCCTTTCTGTGGCTCACGTCAACCAAGGAGCCAGGGACAAAACCCAAACCAGAGATCAACTCCAGCCAACAGGTCACGATGTCTTCTTATTTATGTTCTACGGTAAGAAAAAGGTATTGAGTGCCAAAGCGTTTTCCTTCTTTAGGGTGTTTTTAGGAGATTATTGCCTATTCCAAACAGGATCTGCTTCCACCCCAAGCAAATACATTTTTAGATGAAGATTAGCAATTGCAACCTTTCCACAGACACCTGTTAATACACTACTAACTGCTCTTGGAGTTAACAGGCATTTCCCACCGCACATATTCTTATCCTAACAGCGACCAGCCCGTGACTTGATTCTTCTCTCCCTTCTGTTGSCATCGCAGAGCACTCCAGGGAAAGCAGCGCGACTGTACCCGTGAGGAAACGAGCGGCGAGGCGGGAGCTGAGGCCTCGCGCGCGGAGCGGCACCGCGCAGCCGCTGCCTCGGGCAGGCGGGCAGCTCATCGAGACGGGAAAACGACCTTGTGCACTGTTTTGATGAAAGGGTACAAAGCAAAGGGCAAAGGATCGCGTTGGAACACGATTTATAATTAGCCAATTTAAAAAATAGGCTAACAGAGTAGGCAAGAACATGTGGCAAGTTCCTGTAGCTCACTGTAAAGAACAACAAAAATCATTACATTTCAAGCATGGTGGCATGATGTTCCTTTCAGAACAATTCCCCACTCCCACAGCCTATTTTTATCCTTCATATTAAACTAATGCAGATCACTAATCTATACATAAACCTGGACACTTCACTTTCACTGAAACAGGTATTCAAAAAACACACCTTTTTTTTTCTAATGTAATGCTATTCTAATTGTCATTTAATTCTGCAACTATACACGATTCCTGAACTCTGTTTCACATGAGACAATTTTAATAAGCATTGTAGGCTTCTGCTCTGAGCAGGCAATGATGAGTAATTGGTATGATTAAGAAACCCTATAAATTCTTGGCTTATTGATGGTGCCACAAAGAACACTCATAATATCCTAAAAGTGATGAAACAGCTAATGCTACTCCAAAAACTAGGCTAAATAAATTAATTAGAAAAACTGTCACACTGGCTTCAGAATTGTTACATAAAATGCTTTGTAAAGTCATTTACTACTTTGACGTAATCTGAAAACATTAACTTGAAAAACCTACTGTGGGTTGCAATCCAACTTTCTGCTCTGAGCTAATGTGAAAAATTCTGCTCAGCTTTGAAACAATGGTACAAAGTGTATAACCCATGTGCTCATCTTTTATGGCTAATGAATAACCAGCAACTAAATTTAGAATTCTGCTCCCAACACTTACTAGGTAAAATAAAATCATTAAAAATTATTTTATATGTATATGCATACACTTTCCAAATTGTGCAGAGTAGTGCTATATAATGCTTACAGAGGAACTTTCATATTTGAAAACCCTGAAATACCTTGGACATTACAAATAGGGGGACCAACCACCCAGCATTTCAGCAGCGTTTTCACAAGGCAGTATTTAGCTGTACAAGCACACACAGCAACACTTGCTTGTGTATCTGCACAGGAAATGAAGCATCTTTTAGCACACAGCTAACTTTCAGAGGCCTGAGACAAATAAAAGTACCTGAATTAGAATTTTGCCCTTGTGCTGGCTTCAGCCCTCTGCTCCAAAAGGGATGTGCTGAAGTGCCCTTAAAGGCTGCAGCTGATCAGCACTTTTACTCACAGCCAGCCTCAGGAAGGACGGCCTTGGAAACAGATTGAGCAGCTTGTTGAGGCACCGAAGCACAGGTGWCAGCGCAGCTCCCTGAGTCACCAGCTTTGCAGGGTATTCCGGATTTTCCTGAAAAGCTCTCATCTAAGCAGTGACTAGATCAAAATCACTGATACAGAGTCTGAAGGAAGAGGAAGGGGAAAGGGAAGGAAATACACGAGCACCATTTGCAGAAATCTTTAAAGAAACCATGGTTTATTTCCAATGAAACCTGACAATTAGCCAGCATCTTTTCCCCGTTTTCAACCCATGCAAGTACCATAAAGGCACCTTAGCACCGAGAGCCTGCAGCAGGAGCCAGGCGAGGAGCGCGGGAGCGGAACGGCCAGTCCTGGTCAGTCCGACWGCCCGGGGCTGATCGCGAAGCTGCTGCTTGACGGGCGATGCTCCTCTCATGTTAAATTGCCATGTGCTGTGGACTAAGTAGAGCACACCCAGCCCATTAGATAGGTTGAAGAAAAGTGGAAAATATTTGTGCATTTGTGACAAGTGATATGTTCTCTGTGGAAAAAAAAAAAAATCCTCGTCAGGCAGTTCAGAGGGGAAGCAAATCTGTATGTTAGATCAGAAGTGAAGCATTAACTAAGATACTTGCAATTTACCTAGTACTAAAAGAAACATTCAGACATTTCCTTTATTCACCAGAAGACAGATGAAGACCATCTAGGAGCTGCGATTAGAGGTTTCTTTTTAGACCTGTGAGATTTTACATGACTTGTAGTCCGTGTCTTCAACATTTTCATGCCTTTGGTCCAATCCTAAATATGAGGAAAGCTTGTTTTCTAGGCACTACATCAGTACAAGTAAAGTCCTGCATTTAAAACTATCATAATAAAGAGGAATATAGCAGAAGGCCTAAACTATTGCTTTGACTCATTCCCTTTGAATGA